GCTTCTGACTTTTGATTTCATTGGGTGAGTGCGATTCAATTATAGAAGGTATTACTGACGGAGTATTGTCTAACAACAATACCTGTAGTATCTTCAACCTGTTATCCTAAATCTGATGGTCTCGCCCATAAATTATAGTTTTACCCTGCAAACATCTAGAAATGTGCAGTCGGTACCGTCTCTCTAGATTTTCTGAGGATCACTATTGATGATCGAGGTATTCGCATCCTGTGAAACAAAGTGACAGCTACTCTGAATCGCCCAAATCCAACTGTAATCTTGAAATAGCTCACTTTCAACTATGTAATAGTTTTTGTTGACGTACTGTAGATGCCGTCGAGTCACGATTGACTATGATCACTACTACATGAAGATTACGTGTCAGGTACCGACGTGGATCCTTCGGTAGGCCAAAAACCGGAAGGTTGTCAATGGTTGCAGTAAAATATATTTATTGGCGATCTCGTGATATCTTAAGAATACCCTAGACGTGACAAATTTTACAGGCGACGGAAAGAAAAGTGTTAAACAGAGAAGTACAGTAAAAACAATCACTGGTACAGTTGGTTGTAATAATAACTGTTTCCATTATACCAATCGCGTTCTCGTCATAAAAGTACGTCGCTACAGGATATGCCGAAACTGTCGTCTCTCATGAAACACTTGACGGACCTTTATCAACTATAGACTTATTACCTCTCAAAGCTCGTCTTCAAACAAATACTCCCCTTGATAATCTGGACAACAGGACAACATTGCACAGTATATTTGAAATGCGCATCACATTTCTGGGTCAAACGATGTTGTTGAGAATGCCTTGTATCGTATAATTTCTTTGAACGTTTTCGAAGGATTACACCTTATAAATCTGGCGAAACATGAAAATCGAAAAACCGTGATGCCTAAAGCAGAATAATTTTGTTGGTCTGGTAAAAAAATACTCTTGTGTAAGCTACCAGAAATGTGAGGTAATTTGACACAACAATTGTCCCTTTGGACTCTCTCAAAACTCTTGATGATTGTTCCTACATTGTTCGCCTGAATTTGGTTGGACTTTTACCAGATTCAAATGGACACTCAGCTTTTTACGATGACAAGAAGCAGTACCTAACAAAAACATTGTAGCCGAAATAGTGGCCCGCACCTACGTGGAATGATGAGCAAAAAACTTCGACTGACTTTCGACTATCACTACAGACCGTAGACTTCAGTTCGAATCTGGACTTTTTCGTTGTCTGTCTACACTACCAGAAACACGCGATTCCGAACGACCACCTTCCCCCCCCCACAAGCAAACAGGTTGGTAGAATGCTTTCACCGACAGCTAAAAGCTTCACTATCAGCTACAAACGTTTCACAATGAACCGAAGCACTTCCACTCCTCTTACTAGGTATTCGTAATGCAGTGAAAACTGACATTGGATAATCTGCAGCTCAACTCGTTTATAGTACGACACTCTGACTTCCAGGAGAATTCGTGGATCCTTCATCTTCTACGAAGAATATGGATCTTTACTCCTACACAAGCAATAATACTCTTTGCTTTCGAGGAAACCTGTTTCCACACAACCGCGTTCTAGAAAGAGTAAGGTTGTTGGGACATTTAAACGATTAATACCCGTAGAAAACTGCACAACATTTTGTTGCGACTGTTGACTATCGGCGTTTGAATGCAAAAGCCATTCTTGATCGTTACCCGTTGCCTCACATTCATGATTTCACAACTACCTTGAAAGGTAAAACTGTCTTTTCGAAAATCGACTTGGTTAAAGCGTATAACCGAATCACTATGGCTGATGACGATATTCCAAAAACGGCTATCATCACTCCCTTCAGACTCTACGAAATTTCGCGAATGCATTTTGGCCCACGGTATGCTGCCCAAACCTTCCGAAAATTCATCAACGACGTTTTCCGAGGTTTCAACTTCGTACATGCGTATGTTGATGACTGTTTGTAAGCGATTCCGGACAGAGAATCCCATCTTCAACATCCGGATATTGTGTTCAAACGACTGCACAAGCATGGCATTACTATAAACATTCAAAAAAGCCAAATAGGAACCAAGTTCTTAAATTTCCTACGACACACTATTGATGCTCAAGGCATTCGACCTCTTAGAAGCTAAGTGGTGGCCATTCTGGATTACTCAAAACCGACCACGATCGAACGATTGCGCACATTTAAAGGTCTTGTAAGTTTCTATAGACGGTTCATACCAAAATGCGCATCCCTCATGAAACCACTAACCGGTCAACTCTGTGAAAATGCGAAATCAATTGATCTACACGACACCGTGCGAAAAGCATTCTTCACAATTAAGGAACTTATTGCAAAGGTAACCATGCTGGCACATCAGGAAAACCAAGTGCTCATTAGTATAGGTGTAGACTTTGGACGCTTACCACATTAGTTTTAACGGACTCATTTAGCTGAAGGCGGTCGGTCGTGCATTAGCACTAGATCACATTTTGGTACGGCGTGCAGAACATCTCTTGAGATTAATAGCCAGATTAGATTTAACACTTCTCAATATGTTGATAACCCACCAAATTTATCTTCCAACCTTTCTGCTTCTGACTTCCGATTTCAACTGGGTGAGCGCGATTCAATCATAGAAGGTGTTACCGGTAAAGTGTGTAGTGTGGTGCTTCGTTAATCGATTGTCTCGATAACCGTTTTTATATCAATCTGAACGGTGTATAATATCAGAAGACAAAGGGAAGCGGCAACTACATGTTTATTGACAAATAACATAGGCTAGAAGGCAGTAAGCACATGAGTAAATGTTAGCGAGCGAAGAAAAAATAACATACATGGGAGATGGCTGGTAAGCCAACTCGTTATGAGCAAGCATTAATCAACATTTGTAGTCAGACTAAAATGAATGACAGACATGTGATAGGTAGGATAAGAAGGGTGCATACACATACGCTCATATAAAAAAATATTCAAGGTCAATAAGGGAATAATTAACAAGATCAAAATATGACTCATAACGTTATAGGTGGATTGGCTTGTCCAGAAACTAGAATAAGCTATGTAGGTGTAATATAGTACACAACGTTACACTACTCCCCACAAGTGTTGTCAAACTACAATACTGGTAGTATCTTCAAACTAAATGACCACAAATAGACGTATTTTATTTGGAATTCGTAATTAGTGTGTAATCAAGTACAAAGAAACTATCAGCATAAAAACCACAAACATTCTTGATGAGTGCTCTCAGTCACGCATCTGCACTAGATCACACGGGTACGTCGTGCAGTGCATCCATTGCAACTACTATGCAGTTTAGATAAAGCGCTTTTCGATGTATCAGTAGTTTTCTTTCTGACTTCTGGCTTGAAAAGGTTGGCATTCTTCGATCATAAAAAGTGTTACGTGAAAAAATGTCGTTAAACTTCAAATACCCTGGATTGCCCAGGACAGAGTTGGATGGAGAATGTTGGTGAGCGACCTATGATCCTTCACGAGGGGTAACAGGCGTAAGTAAGTAATAAGCTTAGACGATTGGGTATAAAACCCCCTTTAATTGACTGGATCACTTCATACCTAGAAAACCGACATTTTAAGGTCAGGGTTAACTTCACTCTCTCTCAGGCTATGGAATGTCCTAGTGGGGTCCCCCAGGGTTCAGTACTAGGACCTCTTCTCTTCTTGATTTATATTAACGATCTTCCTCAACAAGTTTCATCTGATTTATTGCTTTTTGCCGATGATGTGAAACTTTGGAGAGAGATACGTACTCACAATGATATACTAGTTCTGCAGGAGGATCTGACTCGACTTCAAAGTTGGGCAGACGACAACGGACTTACCTTCAACACTTCAAAGTGCAAGGTAGTCCATCTGAGACATGTTGCAGACTATAGTTATAACTTAGGTAACTCACCTCTAGAAGTTTCCCAAGTTGAAAAAGATTTAGGAGTGTTGGTACCCTACGACCTGAAATCGTATGCGAACTGTGACAAAAACGCCTCTCAAGCAAACCTTGCACTGGTAACATTGAAGCGCATTTTTGGCCAGTTTGACGGTAGAACCTTCCACATAATCTTCAACAGTTTTATTCGTCCCCACTTAGAGTACGGAAACATAGTATTTCCTCCCTCCCTCCAAAAGGATAAGGTCACTCTGGAACGTATACAACGTCGAGCCACGAAATCAGTTCGGGGTCTCAAATTCAAACCTTATGAAGAGCGCCTCAAATCACTTAACCTTTACCCGTTAGAGTATAGGCGTCTTAGAGGTGACCTTCTTATGACTCGCAGTATCCTTAATACTTCTGGTCATCCCCTTAAACAACTTCTTAAGCTTAGTCATAACACTAACCTCAGAGGTAACACCCAGAAATTGGAGACCCTACATAGCAGAACAGACTGCAGACACAACTTCTACTCCGTTAGAGTTGTCAAGTGCTGGAATTCGCTGCCGACTGAGCTAGTCCAAGCGACTTCCCAGGAGTCCTTTAAGAGAAAACTTGACTTATTCTTAAGGACTAAGGATAACATATTATTATGATTTACCAAATTCTTTTTTTCCCTCTATTATCGTTCATATACCTAGGTTCTTGCCTGGAGGTATTGGTGATCCACTGCTATCAGACACGGAAGCTCGTTAAGCGAAAGCTTCTTCTATTCCGTCCTCAACCATTTGAACCATTTGAACCATTTTCGGGATGATAAGCTGACTCGTGCAAAACGATATCTACCTAATATTTAAATTTCGAATAAGTTCAAAAGGCGAAAAATTAGGAAAACGTTCATTACAAATTCAGATTCTTAAGTTATTTTAACAAGAGTAACAGCAGGAGCACGTGAAGGACCCAAATAACTGATCTTTAGACTTATATCTCACATCTAGCTCTGAAATAAGATGATTGCTAATTTGACCATGCGATATCAGAATTTCGAAAAGTTGCTGATTCCTAATATAACACAACATAAACTGTGGATAGTAATGCAGAATAAATATTCTATTATTTTTGATAGAAAAATAGTTTAAGGGAGGACCGCCCATTTCGAAGTAGGCGTTACTCCAGCTGTTACAATTATGTTGCGAGATTGCCTCATGATTCATGAAATGGCAAGACCCAGCCAAGATGGTGTATATACTGCATTAAATGACATTTTTAAACTTGAAACGTTCAAGTCCAAGTTGCAAGAACAAGCAACGCTGTCTGTGTTCAAGGGTAAGCTGCTCAGCATATCTTGAAGTTTTTAGGAAAAAGTGATGTATTTATTTCAATGCCAACAGGTTCCGGAAAGTCGCTTTGCTTTCAGCTTCCATCCGTAGTGCATCCAGGCATCGCTCTCGTCGTTTCACCCCTTCTTGCTCTTATAAGTGATCAATTAACACACTTGAAAAAACTTCACATTCGGGCAGAAACCATTAACTCGAGGACAGCGGACACACAAAGACGCAAGTTATTTCATCAGCTTATGAGCACGCCACTCGGTTCGAAATCATATCCCAAACTACTGTACATAACTCCTGAGCAGCTACAAACCCCTTTTTCTTCTACCCTTATCTGTCAGTTATACGAAAAATCATGTTTAAGTTATTTTGTTGTTGACGAAGCACATTGTGTTTCGGAATGGGGACATGATTTTAGGCCTGCTTATCTTGCTTTGGGAAAGATTCGTCGTAAACTTTTTCCAACCGTACCATGCATAGCTCTTACTGCTACTGCTACACCTCGCGTACGTGAGGATATCGTCAAATGTTTGGGACTTGGTGAACTTTCAAATCACTCTTCTATAAGTTCACTTGGCTTTGTCGGTAACTTGGAGGAATTCAAATGTAGTGTTTTCCGGCCAAATCTCTACTACGACGTTGTGTTTGGTGACTTACTAGATGACATATATGCAGACGTCTTGCAATTCGCCGCCGAAAGTATCGGTTGGGACAGGTCTCAGAAATGTGACTGGGTAAGCCTTCTGTTTAGTATTGTGTAGTAATCTATCCGAATAGACAAAACTTGGATGTGGTATCGTTTACTGTCGAACGCGTACTGATTGTGAGGGACTGGCAGAAAAGCTAACTTCCCTTGGATTATCTTCACGAGCCTACCACGCAGGGTTATCTAAATCCGAACGAGAAGACGTTCAAATGGGATGGTCTTCTGGTTTGTATCCAATAGTAGTTGCTACCATAAGTTTTGGAATGGGTGTCGATAAACCAAATGTGAGGTCAGTTGTAATCGTGATATTCATATTTCCTAGACCTTTGTTTAAAACTACTCTACTGTTTTTTTCCAACAGCTTCCGTTGATGTAAAAATCCTGAGTTAGAGACATTACGGGAAACTTATTCAATTTCTAAGTAAAGTCGTCTTGGCAAGGTTTAACGTTTTGAGTTCGTAACTGTAACCAGTGCGAATTCTAGCGTACACAACCTTCGACAGTAATTTAAGCGAACTCGGTTAGAATTGGCAACAAAACACAACTCATCAGCTAAAAAAATTACGTACCAACCAAAATAGCACAGAGAAAGGAAATCAATAACAAGGAAGATGAATAAAAATCATTAATCTAAAAGCAGTAAAGAGCTGAAGAAAAATTATACTTCCTTGCGCTATGTTAATATTTCGAAAATCAGACTTTAATGAAATGAATGAGACCATTTCTATACTATTCTCCCCTAACTCAGCAACTACAATAAAAACACCAGTTTAGTGATTGCAGCTTATAGATGATGGCCTTAGTAGATCAGTCAAAAATACACTTAAGTTAGGGTTCATGAGCAGTCAACGCGGAACAATTTGTGATAGAAATTTATCTTTATTGACATTGATATTTAAAGACTCCACATACCCAACAGAAGAATTAAGGAATCAAGTAGTATCATTGGACAAATGATTTGCAGCAACAGATCCAAGAAACACAAAAGGAAATTTTCTTTGCTGTGATTTTGAACGTCACATCGTAGCCCTCAAATGCCTTGGTACCACCGAGAGTGTGAAGAGTCCGCTCTCCCTCCCAAAATGCTCTCATATGACCACGCTTATGCAGCCACTACCGGGGAAGTCCTACTTACTGCCTCCTGGCGGGATTGTTTATGAACTCGAGAGGACGAAAAGCAAATATCCTGCGCTTAGACCGGGACACAGGAGATCCACCTAGGGGAGCTGAAAAACCCTGATTCCAAACCAATGGTGCACATTGGCCCCAGCATTCTGAGGGAACAAATGGCATATGAACCTATTTTTGGTGACCAGTTACCATGAGATTGTATTCTCTAACATCGCTCCACTGCCTCGTGGATTAGACTTCCGAGTCAAAGGCTAGAGGAGTAGCCCCCAAGGAAACCACTTATTTCAGTTTGAGGACCTGGACAGAGTATTCCAATCCGTACAAAAATGAAACGATAACTCTCTGATGTGGCGCATATATATTTTGATGTGTCTTTGTATCAACGTTTATGTTCCTAAACAATAAAAATAGTAATTAGTCTTTAACCAATCCCTACGGCTGTTTCTCAAATACTACTCGTAAAGTTTCCATATGTGATAGCCATTAATTTCCTGAATCGGTGTCATATGATTGTCTTGATACTAATATTATTTTTCAACTAATTTCAAAACCAGACAAAAAGATGCAGACAACAATCGAATATTGTGACAGCACGATTCACATTTTCATCATCATTGTTTCAAGATTTATCACTAGGTGGCCCCACTAAAATCGAGGTTTTTGAAGCGCAACCGTTAATCACAATTTTGGAAGCTTAAACTATGCCATACTTGGCACGTTTCAGTGTAAACCAAATAAGGAATTCGTGCCCACGCCGAGCTTTGACTGGCTACCCAGTCAACAGAGATAATAGAACTCTTTAAGTACGTAAAGTGGTCTAAACTAGTTTTTAATGTGACTTATTCGCCAAACATGGTTTCACGTATTTGTACTCAAATTACAACTTAAGAGGAAACAGTAGTAATTCGGCTCAGTGGATTATACCAAAGTCAATGAAGTGGAGTTCGGACGTCCTCCCTATCGTTTAAGACATTAGCCCTTTAACTAATAAACTATGACCTTACTGCTAACCTCGCGTCAACACTTTTTTTACTTCACTTCATATCGTTAGGTATGGAAACAATGCTAACTAATAATATCTCATTTCACATGCGAAAAATAACAAGCTAATTCAGATATTACATCAATATTCAAAGCGCTCAGAAGACTCTTCAAGTTGCCGACGTCTTCATTTAACACAGTACAACCGGTATATACTACAAATGGACTATGTCTCTCAGGAAGAGGCTAATATCTGTGGAATTAATTGATGTGATTTTATCATAAGTCTAGATAGAAACAAAGGATGTTTATAATCCTAATGCATACCACTCGATGTTATGACTAACTTAGATATTGAGTGTTGAGTGACGATCAGAAATGCATTTGTTGTTCTTTTGACTTAGTTATTATTTCCTTAGCAGTCTTAGCATTCCTGGTGTTTTATCCTTAGACAACAGTAAAATTTTTATAGTTTTGTGGCTTTTTGTTACTGTGATAACGTCATTTGTTAATGACCCAAATAATCGGGACAGATATTAGTTCGTAATTAATTTGTTTCCATGCCACTTCTAAATTTTCTAAAAAGCGAAATGCACATACAGGATATACCAAAGCATTCATTGAAACTGAAATTGGCGTTTTTTCGGCAAAGTATTCCCAGTAAAGTTAATGCTTGATAAAGATGAAAACGGTAGGTAACGACCCTTGTATTTCTTTAAGCTTCGCTTATGTTGAAGGTAATACTAACAAAAGGGTCCGAAAAGGTGTGCTACGTAAACGGGGAATGGTTTAGTTGCTTTCGGCAATTTGATTACCAATCAAATGAAGAAGTATATACTCTGAGAAAAATACTACCATTTCAGTCCAATTAACTTTAAAGTATGGCAAGGCAACTGTTTTTTGCCGACAGGAGTTTTACGCCTGAAGGTCTCTATAAAGGCTGTAAATAGTTTGGCATGTTTTAATCTGTATATAGTTGTCCATGTCACGTATCGTGCTCAGCTATCTGCTTATTTTGATACATTTAATCATCAGTTGAATGTGTTATAAATAATTAACAGCTCGCTATATCCTGATATTTTTTTAAATCAAAGATTCGTTCTTCACTGGACTCTACCTAAAAGTTTGGCGGCGTACTATCAAGAATCAGGTAGAGCTGGAAGAGATGGATTACAAGCTTCTTGTCGAATTTATTACTTTAAGAAAGAACGTGATACTGTAGTTTTTCTAACAAACCAAGAACCAAATGTAAGTTATTTATTTATTTAATCATACATTATTTTTAGAGTGGTTCTCAAAAGTCACTTAATAACACTCAATGTCGAAAAATTGATATTAATGCTATGGTAAAATATGTTGAGACAGCAAAGTGAGTCCAGCTAATTTCCATATGTTGTTGTGTTGACTGTTATACTTTGATTCTCCCTCTGTTTATTTATGCATTTTGTGATCGTGAGTTAATGTTTATTCAAGTCGCTATCAAGAGTAGATGACTTCATAGTGAGTTAATTTTTTCTAAAGTCATAGTTTCCACATTTTATTCACAACAAGATGACGTTTGTACTATTATTTAGTCCAATTCAGTAGCCGTTTTTTTACTAAAACAAATCACCCAACCATCTTTCAGATCGGTTTACATTATAAGGAACGATTCCATTGTTCCAAGGGATCTACTAATGTGACTGTCATCTTTTTTTGTCAGATGGTTGGATGCAATTGAGCAAAAACACACCGAACAGACGTTTTATATCTGTTAAAAACAGTGGTAAGGTTTATCTGGAACCTTAGTGTACCAGATATTCTTTTTTATGTTTGATTTTGCCTCATCGAGCACTAGATTATAAGACAGCAATACCAAGGTATTGGTGCCGCAACTTGTGTCTCTTAAGACTGAAATAAGTCCTAATCTGTTACTGGTTAGTATTCGACATAGATCTACCTTCTGGATTTTGATCAGCTAGCTGTTATAATGCCACAACTTTATATATATATATATATATATATATATATATATAGTGTAAGGTATTGAAGCAGCTGAACTGGTGGTTCGTGCATAACATCGATCCTCAGACCTTGCAGACTAATGGATTTCAAAAGACAAAAGCGTTGACCAGCAATGCAGTTAAACAAAAACTATTTTGAGCTAAGGCAGCAGGTAATTCAGCAGAGTGACTTCAATTAAATTACAATTATAAACAAAAATTATGTGAAAATTCTCTTCTTCAGTGCACTGACGATTCTCCTAATGAGATTGTATTGTGTTTAAAACATTAAAACGTCATAGCGCTGACACTATCGCCCGTAACTGGATCTTTGTTCAACCTAGTTGTGTCTGAAGTACGGGCTACAATCTCATCCTTTCCCAATTCAATTCATCAATATTTATCTTTTCCCCCATTTACACATCAAAGCTGTAGGCACCAACAGATGGGAATTTATTTCAAAGATGAACAAGCTCCATGTGGGAATCATTGTGATGTTTGTGTCAATGCATCACGAGTGTCTATGAATCTAGCATTATTCCGTGCTCTTGAATTTAGTAAGTATTTATTGTTAATTTGTATTGAATATGGTTGGTTTATTTAAACTACTTTCAAAATTTTAAAACTGAGTGTATACATACAACTTTATTCATTAGGAGTTGTCAAGCGTGGTAATGTCCCAGAACCTGATAAGTGTCGATAAATAAGGTAGGCTTTCCACTACATTTTTAATGACTGTCTCCTCAAAACTGTCGCAATTCCACCAGGTAACTGCAGACATCTAGCAAATTATCATCAGTTGAATTTTCATTTAATATTAGAGCACGAAACATAGTTGTTTCGCAGAACCAATCCATAAATCTTTCATAAGACTGGACATAGAGTTCTACAACCCTGCATTGATTCTGTGAGTTTTTAATCCAGTCAACGCTATCTCAATTGAGTATCTAACGAATGATAAAATCGCGATACTTCACACAAACTTCACAATGGTTGCTTTAATTTTGTTACTCATTTGTTGTGGAGCGTGATTATTTGTCTTCCTGATTGGATGCTTTTCGCTAATCAAGGGATTCTAATAATCTGAAACCAGAGTCAGTTTTTTCATAGCTGGTTGTCTTACTGAACTAAATACATCAATTTGTATTCGTATGCGATAATTTTCTAATATTTCATTCTATATACATTATCAAACATCATAAAGAGTTCCGGTATTTCTATTGTAATGTGATGCTGATATCCAAATTATTTTCATTACGTCTATTAACTAAGCCGAGAATTCAGAGCAGTTCGTTCTACACTCTGAAATCATGCGTTACAATCATTCTATCTTTTTTCCACTTTGATTTGTTAGCTACTAAAATTGGTTACCAAAATAATAATAATAATGATGATGATGATAGTACTGGAAATTGCAATTATATTAATAAGTTTGATGATGATAACGAAGGTGGTGATTCGGAAAATTTTTCAACTGAACAACGTGAAGAGTACGATAAATTAGAAAGACGAAAGTTAATCACGAGTGAATTCAATAAACGTCGACGCAACACAGACAAACCTATACAGGTTAGTAAAAATTTAATGAATTATTTTTTATAATAAATTGCTTGTGTTCGTTCTGCTTTTCCGGTGAATAATTAAAGATGCCTATTATTTTATAAATCATGTTCTTCTTGCTTTATATAAATCTATCAAAGGATTAGGATGTATGAAATATTACATTATTAACATAAAGATTAAAAATACTCTTCTTATAAGCAAACAGATAAGATCATTTCAATAACGTGACATTTTATTGAATGTTTTTATCAACTAATCTGTTGGATAAGAATATTCGAATGGAATTACAAAGATGGTAATTTGACTAGGATCGAATCATTTCCATTGTGAAAGACAATAAATATGATCTATTATAGGAATTTGAGGCTTATGTGAACCGTATATTCTGAGATATAAACAGTGATAGAGAGCAACCAAGTATCAAAACTTCCTAGAGAATAACACCCTCAGCCTATTCCAATATCCATTCAATCATAACCAATTTAGAACATAGCAGACATGTGTATCAGCCCTAGTTACTACACCATTTCAACAAAGAGAAATAAAATTGATAAAATTAATAACGAAGGAATCAAAATAACAGTAGCATCAATTATGATCCTAATTTTATTTTGTTTATTTAAACATAAATATTGGTACAAGGAAGCACCAGATATATATGCGCCTCACAAATCTCATTCGATTTGTGTGAGGGCTGTGATACTGCCTGGGTGCCCGAAATGAAGCAGGTGGTTTTCTTAAGGGGCCACACCCCGAGCCTTTGACCTAAAGGTCTGATGCACAAGGCAGCGGAACATCGTGAGGAGATGCAGTCCCACGGTAGCCAGTGATCAACGATTGATTCGTACGCCATTTGTTTCCTCAGGATACTGAAGCCCATGTGCATCATTGGTTTGGAATCAGGGTTTTCCAACTCCCCTAGGTGCATCCTCCGCATCCACCAACCCGGTTAAAGCGCCGGACATTCGCTTTTCGTCCTCTCAATTTCGTAGACAACACCGCCGCCACGAGAAGGCAGTGAGTAGGACTTCCCTGGCAGAGGCTATATATTCGCTGGCCATGTGAGAGCATTTCAAGAGGGAGAGCGAACTCTCCCCACTCTCGGCTGTACCAGGGCATTTGGGGGCATAATCTTAAAGGCTAAAGGTAAAGAATATAATTTGAAAACTAGGCATTAAATAAGGACGAGTCATGTTACTCAACATCTGCGACCACCAATCGTAATTGTCAAACGACCCTAACCAGTGGTCTGTACTAAGCAATGCAATCCAAACCAACAGTCAGTGATTTCATGAGCTAATGCCTTATCTTCTTTCGGCTGACCATTAGCCTTCTTTCAGCTTACCCTTGCTCCACCTATCAATACATATTCATGTTGGTAATCGTTAGGGATGCGTAATAGACATCCAAGACATTTGGACCAATGAAGATTCACGGCCCCACCAACTGATTTACCATGTTTCCTTAGTAATCTATCCCTAACTTTAACGTTGTTCATATGGTCGTCCCACGATACGTGAAGAGTGCTCCAAAGGCACCTGTAAACAAATATCTACAGTTCACCCATATCTTATACTTTTATGGACCATGTTTCAAAGCCCCCAAATACCCTGGTACGGCCGAGAGTGGGGAGAGTTCGCTCTCCCTCTTGAAATGCTTTCACATGGCCAGCGAATATATAGCCTCTGCCAGGGAAGTCCTACTCACTGCCTTCTCGTGGCGGCGGTGTTGTCTACGAAATTGAGAGGACGAAAAGCGAATGTCCGGCGCTTTAACCGGGTTGGTGGATGCGGAGGATGCACCTAGGGGAGTTGGAAAACCCTGATTCCAAACCAATGATGCACATGGGCTTCAGTATCCTGAGGAAACAAATGGCGTACGAATCAATCGTTGATCACTGGCTACCGTGGGACTGCATCTCCTCACGATGTTCCGCTGCCTTGTGCATCAGACCTTTAGGTCAAAGGCTCGGGGTGTGGCCCCTTAAGAAAACCACCTGCTTCATTTCGGGCACCCAGGCAGTATCACAGCCCTCACACAAATCGAATGAGATTTGTGAGGCGCATATATATCTGGTGCTTCCTTGTACCAATATTTATGTGTTTAAATAAATAATAAAATATTCTGGACTGCTGCTCAGTTTACTCGTTCCTCTTTTGGCAGACGGACAAATCCCAAACATCTTAGTTGGTAAGTGTTCTCAGTTATATCAACCTATTGAGAAAGATAAACCATGACTTCAAAATCAATGGATTGTAGACACTTTATATAATGCGCTTATGTTTCTTAGTGATGTTTGGCTTTCTGGTTTATTTGTATGATCAAATCAATGGTGATCAGTGACCGGAACAGTTTCATTTATTCTACTATAGTTTACATTATATTCTTGGCTACAATTTCATTTCACATAACCTCGTTTTTGTTTATCTTTAGTCATCATGGGTTTCGGCTCCAGATACAACTGAAGTTTTAAGTCCAGACAATCGTAATGTTACCGGAATCACTGGATGGTGTCGTGACCAAACTCTTCAGTTACTTATCAGTGCAATGAAAAAAGTATTCCCAGAACATGAAGCATTACTAAATAAGTTATGTGCAGATGCGGAATATGTGTTGTTTAAAGAGTCAAAAGTAAGCTGTTCTATACAAAATTACATTCATATACTTTAAGTTAATTACACCATAGTTGATATGGAGTAATGTAACACGATTATTTCTAGTCCGAAACATTTTCATTTCGTTTTGATTATTATCTTCAGTGAAGTTTTAAAATACTATCGTATGTTAACAAATATCTATTACAAATATGTGTTTAAAAATTTGCTTCTGCTTAGTTGGCTGAAAAATTATTTCAATAATCTTGGTAATATGTGCGTATATATATATATATATCACTCAGTTATATAAGCTAAGACCTTGAAAAAGTGCATCATGAAGTCGACTCAACTGAGTGTTTCGTTTGTCATTTCTCAATACCAGTGTAATTACCCTTTAACATCCATGACATTTTGGAAATATTTCTTGTGGGATGAGTAGTGGCGGTGTGACTCTGTTATCTGAAGAAAGACTTTTCGGTCTTGAGTATGTAGATGGTATTGTCTTTCTATACGATGATGTACAAGCAATGGAAATTGCACTTGTTAGTCTTTGTCTTTACTTTTCACCTTCTAAGTGCAAATTACTTTTACATGACTGGTATGACCCTATGCCGGCCCCCACTCTTAGTGGTGAGCGGTAAGTAGTTTGGCAGCTTGTGTATCTGAGCAGCTGTATGGGTGTTGGAGGTGCTGGGATTTGTAGAGCCAATCTACGTATAGTGAAAGACAGAGCGGCTTACGTCTTTATAGGCAATCTTTAGCGCCATCATAATGTTATTCCGTCTGTAAATGGTGAGGTCTACAACGCGCCGTTGAAAGCAGTTTTGTTGGACTCCTGTAAAACCATATATGTCTCAATTAAGTATGTCTATTGACTATGTTCGATCATCGTTATCTCTAAAGAGTTTCTGATATTCAATGGTGTCACCATATTAGTAATACTGATACTCACCATTTTGTGTTCGGTCAAAGTATCCATAACTCGTTTGGTATTGTTATCTTAAAACACTGGGTTCGATGTCTTGGACAAGTTTTACTAATGTCATCCCCAGTGACTTACACGTGCTGCATTATTTACCGTCTTCAGGGCTGTTTGAAAGAAAGCGGAGAGGTGGTTAGTTTATAACATGGAGCCATGTAACAAAATAAAGCTGTGTAGAACTAACGTTTTTTGCTGTCATAACTCTCTGGTTGGAATTCGAGAAATGGTGCCACGTTCTGGCTTGAGATGTTACCAGACCTGACTCAAAGCATAAATCAATGGCGACTCTGTTGTAGTTCTCTTTAACCTTATTAAATGATGATATAAACTTCCTGAATTAAAAAAATATCTTTGGTCGTATTTTTAACTGGACTGTTCTCCTTTTATACATTATTCTAGTTTACTCGTTTCTCCACTTATTTGTTTTTAATTATATTAAGTTTCCTTCGTCTATCTCTTCATAGCTTCATTTCTTATTCGTATGGCACATTTTTATCTTGGTGCTCAGTTATGCCAGTATTTGTGTATTAAATAAAGAAATAAAAATCATCAAGCAACATATATTTTATTGTAATTGCTAGCACAATAACTGATCATTCTTCGGGAATAAAACCTGTATTCTTTGTTACCATTAATAAACACATCTCGTTCAAGTTGGCTTATACTCTGATCTGATGATGTTTATAACCTGGTTAGCTTTTGCCAATTGGATTTACCCAAATTCTATTAATCAAGAAGTATTGTGTGGTCACTGCAATATATTATGGTTACTTTGTTATATTTAAATTTCAATTAGAGTGATTTATGTTGTAGAAGATGCTGGATCCCCGGAAATCACTTGGTTTACTTCTATTTTTTGTAATTTTATTATGGAAATTGAAGTTTTCATTTTCGCGCCAAAAGTGCGCGTTCCTACCTTCAGTTTGTACTTCCCACCTAGAAGGATCCTAAATGTCATTGGTTCGTTCCCTCTTTTAGTACACTATTTTGCGACGTTTTCCAAGAACATTTTTTACTGTATTTATACTGATGAGTTGTGTGCTTGTTCGTTCGTGCTCCTGGGTCCCCCCTAGTTAGCAGGGCTGGGGCGCAGTGGGACAGCTTGGGTCATCCTGTTGTTGTGTTGCTGGCTTCTGTGAGGAGTGCTTACTACTTAAAATTATACATCCTCTATGCTCTAACTCATCACCAAAGCGGGTTATTCCATTTCGATTGATTAGCTTTTTATGCCCATTGTAAACAGTCACGTATTTCTGTATTAGGCTAGAGATAGTAATTTTTTACTACCAGTATTATCTACAATTACACGATCAATCATTGTTTTTTATAATAATGGTAATAATAATGATATAGTGAGCTAATTAACAACACTTGGACAGTCAATGTCTATCTCGTAGTCGACTAATAATATCCTTTATTTGTTCAACGTGCATTATTTTGCTTGTATTTTGTTGTTGCTATTGGTAACAGTTCCGTCAAACGATATTGGTTTTGTGGGTAGTCTTATAATGTTCACATTAATTAGTTAATCAACATATATATATATATATATATGGAGTAACGTTAAGTATAGCTCTCAGAAAAAATATCGAACTCGCTTACTACAATTATTGTACACTGTATTCATACCATTATTTTAGTTGTTATTGTCATTAGTAATGGTAAGAATATCGATAATATTGATTTCATGTCGTATTCGAAGTAATAGGGATGAAAACAGTATAAGGAGTTCATTGTCCGAGTTCGTCTTCGATTTTGGGTAATTCTATAGGTTCCCATTATGATCCTACACTCTTTTTTCTAAAACTTGAAAATACCATTAGACTTTAATTGTCTAACTTATCATTGACTATATCCTAACCAGTCAAATTGAACACTATGAATTACTTTTTGTGGTAAACCTCATCCAGCTTCATAGTTAACAAACCTAAATTAGAAAGAGTAATTAATCGGTATTTAAATCAAAGTTATGTAATTGATGATGGTTTTGTACAGATTCAATTGTAATAATTTCTTTCGAATTCGATAATCATATACTCATAGTATGTAAATTATTACCACAATAATAATAAGTACTATTCTACGCAAAGATGGATAATGGCTAGCTGTGGAATCCAGTATTGCAGTCCTAAACATCAATGGGAAGACTCGATGAAACATACCATGTGAATTTAATATGTATTACTAGTGTTATCAATACTAATCAAGTATACATGTGTAGTGTAATATGCATATTTTAAATCCTTTCATATTATTATACAATCCCAGTGTCTTAATAATCAATATATGCTAGTTTCGTGTCTAATTTACAACTGACTGAACACCATTGGAAATAATAATAAAAATAATGATTTTAATATTGGGCTCATATTTAGGTGTTGAATGATTATGTAGTCGTAAATTTTCGACATTATTCTAATCAAACTGATTCCCCTGTGGTTATCACAAAAAGATTTTCGTCTTTTATGGAGACTGGGACGTTTGAGACAGGATTAATTTCGGATCCCAGACTCTTTTTCATAGACGAGTCAATTTAAATTATAGTTTCAGACCACCACCATTCAAGACCCCTAGTGTCAGCCCGTCATGTCCTTATGCTTCCCTTTGCTCTAGGTTAGTTATAGCCCTTTCAAGTTTTCTGAGAGTCCCTGAGGTTACATCGACTTCAAACTATTTGTAAATAATGGGCAACTGAAGGGTAACCGTTACGACTGCTATGCCTTCGTTTCTAGCTTTTTGAAGGAGGACAGAAAATTTTTGGGAAGCTTATCTTGTGGTGTGTTGCTTAGTGGTTGAGACGTTTTATTTTCAACCTTTTATTTGCTGGTTTGAATCATTATTCAGTATCACTATCCCCCGTACATAAAGTGTGCTTTGAAGCAGAGTACACGGTTCTATATTTAATGAGTTGCATCAAAAATTTTATCACTATATCCGAGTTACATATAGTGGAAATTAAGAAAAACAATACAAAAGGATAATTTTAGAGTTAATTTTTTACAACTCATTTGCGTTGTGGAAAGGAAGCATCTCTGAAGATATGGATTGTCTACAGGAAACACCTTACTGTTACTCGTTGGTTAACTTGTTTTTCGCACAGACGAACAAACCATATGAAGAATAATATTAAGTAGGAAAGCTAATATTTCCCAGTTTAATACTTTATACTAAATCACTATCTTTTTGATTGACCTTTTATAACAATGAAATATTAATAAAACAATGACAGTCAAATACGTGTTACTGTCACTTACTTTCTGTTGTGAAAAGTTATGTTCAGTTTATTTAACAAATGACTATTTCTTTATCATTATGATTTGTGAGAAAAACAGGTTAGTTTATTTTCTTGTTTGTGGTGACCAGTAATGTATTCTTTTACAATAAAGTGTAAATACAACATTTTTCATGTTATAGTTATATTCTTACGCTTTACTTTATTCAGGTTGCGGCTATGTATCGTACACGTATGGCAAGGTTGATCACATTTGTTCGTCGACCAAATATTAATAAAGAATCTGTATGGAATGCTGTTAAAAGTAAAGCTGATATTCTTTTGACAAGAACTAATGAAAATATGAAATCTACTGTAGGTTGTAATTTCGCTTTTTTTCTGAATTAATTATCATGGTTTATTTAAATTCAACTTAGTATTGTTTGTTTGAATCTTCCCATCGATTTGTTAGGACTGCAACTGGTCAGTCTCTAATTGGCATATGTGCATACTGTGCGTATTGCCTCGATATACCTTAATTCACAAGCATGGTTAGCAGAGATGGATAGTGGCTAACAGTGGAATCCAGGACGCGCGTTTCGTCCTATTTGGGACTCGTCAGCTGGATGTACCTGCATCTCAGAGTTGATGTTCACTCTGGGACTCGAACCCAGTACCCTCGCTTCAAACGCCATCGCGTTATCCACTCGGCCACTGAGTCCTGATAGCCACTTGCTTGTGCGATGGGGTGAAGTTTAAATTCAACTTATTATTGTTTGTTTGAATCTTCCCATCGATTTGTTAGGACTGCAACTGGTCAGTCTCTAATTGGCATATGTGCATACTGTGCGTATTGCCTCGATATACCTTAATTCACAAGCATAGGTATATCGAGGCAATACGCACAGTATGCACATATGCCAATTAGAGACTGACCAGTTGCAGTCCTAACAAATCGATGGGAAGATTCAAACAAACAATACTAAGTTGAATTTAAACTTCACCCCATCGCACAAGCAAGTGGCTATCAGGACTCAGTGGCCGAGTGGATAACGCAATGGCGTTTGAAGCGAGGGTACTGGGTTCGAATCCCAGAGTGAACATCAACTCTGAGATGCAGGTACATCCAGCTGACGAGTCCCAAATAGGACGAAACGCGCGTCCTGGATTCCACTGTTAGCCACTATCCATCTCTGCTAACCATGGTTTATTTATTTTGTTTGTTAGACGATTGTCAATAGTTTAGTGTTAACGTGATTTAAATCACTGAAAGTGAACACGTTTTCATCCTGTTGATGATAATTATTGATAAGTGCAAAAATCTAGTTCAAATTCCTAATAGGTTGTTCATCTTCACCTTTTTATTCACCTATTTTGATCAGATTATCTTCTGTAAACCATAAAATCATTTTAACTAAATCGTCTGTTTCATCATGAATTGTTTTATGTTAGTGTATTTTATGAGGTGCTATGTGAAAGCTGGATAGTAAGTTTAGTGAACTAGTTTTATTGAATATTAGACATTTTCTAAACATGCACCAAGAGTTTCTCCTTATTGTTTCTATATATTGTAAATCAAATCATAGTTTAACGCTGTCATACCATAATTGATTCAGCCTTTTTTTGATTCATCCGTTAAGATATCGTATAAACTGTTGTAATGTTTACTACTGGCTCATTACCAAATATTCCTGCTTAAAAAGTTTTAAAATGTCGAAACACAGGTAGACATATCGGCAGAACTGGGCAATAATCGATTGCGTTATTTAAAGGATTTCAAGATAACATCTCAATATATAGCGCCTGTAGCATTTTACTGAGTCAGCCTATAAGCTATGACTGTTCCAATAAGTCTTTCTAGTTTTTGTAAAGGATATGCAATCCAAAGGCTCCTAATTAAATACTATATATATATATATATATATATATATATATATATATATATATATATGTTAATGGAAATCAGGAATTATAGATAGGATAGTTCTTATCTTCTGTTCTTAGATTCCTGTCATATTCTCAGGACCTGGCACCTACTTCACTTCTATATTAAAGATGGTAACACAAACGTGTACAGTAGTGACAATTCTCTTCTTTTCAGAATGGAAAAGTTATATATCTGGATTCACTTAATGCTTGTGCAAAACTCTGCTTCCGTTTCATCCCTATCCAGTCATTAATATAGCTTTGATTATGGCCTTTGGTTTAAACATTCTTCAACCAACTTTTATGGCTGTAGAGACCTATTAATATTCTAGCGCTTAAATCAGTATAACTCAATTGATTTATTGTGACAGACCAGTGCAGGCAATTTAAATTTTTTTGTACATAATAATAATAATCATCATTTTAGTCAAAAATTTCAGTTTAGATTATCAAGTGGTTGAATGGTTATTAGCGTTAGCCCATTTGTGACGTCGAATTTGCTTTTACACATTACTTCCCTTCGGTGAACGAGCCTATATGAAACTACAGTGCCATCAGAGCTAGAAAAGTGAACTTAGTGTATATTAACAGAAGAAATGACGATTTTCTGGTAAGACTTAAAACGTATTGGTTATCCCATCATCATATAGAAAGGTCGGTTACAAAGTTTCTATTATGACTGCGAAATCACACTGATATTGTAAACATGTAAGTTATTTCTCAAAATCCGAGAGGAGTGCTTAGAATCTCTTTACAAAGTGTAAAATATATGTATGACTGTGTAGTGTTTAAACTTCAAATAAATTGCCAATTTACCAATTTTAAAATCACAGTAGTGATAAAATTAAACTACTTGTAGCATGATTAATCTTTATTTGTTGAAATAGTTGAAATATATGTTTGTCCATGTCCAATAACCAACTGTTATAGTTTAATTATCTGACTGCTTTTTAAGAAAATAAATACAACTAGGTTGAAATCGGGTTGTTTCACAAGTTTTAATTATGAATTCGTCTATTACTAAAATGATTAGACAGTAAGTCATTCAATGTATATTTTATTTCTGGAATATATCGTCATTAAAATGTACATGTCAACTTTCTGGTTGTATTATTACCTGTTAGTTGTCAATGAAGTGGAAAGTTTTGTCTCATCTCTCTATTCTTTAACAATACACGCTATTGACTCATTTTAAGAAAAGGTTGAACTTGTATTTCTTAAGCTATAGAATATGTGTTAGTTCAACCTTTCAAACTTCAAATCTGCTAGTCATTTAGTGGAATACATTATCAGCTTTTACCCATGTTGTCATTTCAAGCTCCCAATTAGTGGTGCTACTTTGGGAGCCATAGTTACTTTCAATTGTTCTTCAGATTAATCGATGTTGTAGTATTTCCTAACAACTATATGTTATATCAAATACGTGTATGGTGTAATTCGCTATTGCTTATGTATGTTTTATTTGCATTGTTATCTGTTGTAAACCATAAAGGACAATTCTATTCAAGACAATAGAAAATCAGCACTGGCGGAAAAAGCTATTATCTCATCAAAACCTTTTCCTCACAAAATAAAACGATCATCTTCACCCGAAACAAATAAGTGCAATGTTAAATATTCAACACCTGCCGTTGGTAAAAAATTGAAATTGGAGTCTGAATTCGAAAATTTTAAATCGCAATGTAAAAGTGAGACGATTTCACCAATAAAAAAATCAGTACGTTTTGTTGTCTTTTACATAGTGACATTTTTTTAGTGTGTATTGACATGTTTAAAGTTTATCTAAAATCTATCTATTTGTTGTTCCTTCATGAATTTTAAGCAAATAAATAACAATCAAGTTTCTTCTAAACATCATCTCTGAGATGCATATGTGTCCAGCGAAACGCGCGTTCCGGATCCCACTGTTAGCCACTATCCATCTTTGCTTATAAAGTTTATGACTTCAGGCAATATCGAGGCAGTCCGCACAGGATGCACATATGCTAACAAGAGACTGATCAATTGCGGTCCTAAATAACAATGAGAAGATACAAGTAAACAACACCATGTGAATTCAAGTTTCTCTTAGTTTACAATTTTCCTATGGTTTACATATTCTACAATATTCAGTTTCTTTTTCAAAAGTTTACCGATCATAATTTTCCTTTAGGTTGTTCAATTTATGTTTATTCATCGGTGAATTTTTCAACATAATCATTTCTGTTATTATTACCATATTTTCAATATATGAGAATGTTTTCTTTTCAAAATAACACTGAAACGACCATAATTAATTGCTTGTCGTTAACAAAAAATACCAAAGGTATCGGTCCAAGTTGCCATACCTCGTTAGCACAACAAGATGAACACCGGATTCATAGAAATAGTTAATTTAGTGATGGTAGTATATAAAGAAAGGTTGTATATAAGGATATAGTATAGGAAGGAGGAGAGATATGAAGCAATTTTAGTCTCAAGGTTTAAAGGAAGATAAAGAGTGTATACACCTACGCCATTGTGATCGATTCTGAGCCATGTCACCCAGAGTCTCCAACCATTTATTACGATACTCGTGGACCCCAACCAGGTAGTCTGCATCTGCCAACATGGCTCAGACTAAAAGTTAGTGACTTCAAGCACTGATGCCATGTTTTGGTTTGGCCGCCCATAACTCTCTTCCAACAATCCCCTACACTGGTCGTGGTAATCGGTGTTCAGGCATACGTAACACGTGGCCCAACCATCTCAGTCGATGAAGATTCATCACCTCATCAACTGATTTACCATCATTCCCTATTACCCTGTGTCTAACCTCACTATTACTTACCCGGTGATATATTTCTAAGGCATCTGTGGTCAAATACTAGTAACCTACTCTTAATGGCCATGTCTCGCAGCCGTAAAGTAGAACAGAACGAATTGCTGCGCAGTATACTCGTCCCTTAATTGATAGACGGATATCTCGTCTTCGCCATAGGTGACGTAAGTTGGCAAAAGCCAAACGAGCTTTTTGAATCCGTGCTGAGATTTCATCAGACACCAACCCATTAGGGCTGATCAGACTTCCAAGATAAGTGAAGTTGTCCACGCGTTCGACTACTTCACTCCCTGTCCTTAGTTCGGGTGTTGACGCAGGCCAGTGCTGGAGTAACAATTTACATTTGGATGGGGAGAAACGCATCCCAAACATCCTGGCATTATTACTGAGTTCCAACAGAAAACTGCATTTTTTCAGAGTCTTCACCAAACAGGACTATGTCATCTTCGTATTCTAAGTCGATAAGTGAACCTCCTGGTAGAAGATCAATTCCTGAAAATTCAGTCGAAGAGAGTATTATTTCCAGTAACAGGTCTATAATGAAGTTAAACAAAAATGGAGATAGTGGACAGCCTTGACGAACACCACTTGAGGTTGTAAAATCAGATGACAGTTCGCCTTAAGCTCTCACTCGACTGGTAGTGTTCGAGTAAAGAGCCTTCACAAGGTTTATGTACTTCTGAGGTACACCTTTCAATGACAGACACTGCCACAGAACCTCTCGGTCTACAGAGTCAAATGCTGCTTTCAGGTCAAGAAAAACTATCATTGTCGGACGCCGATAAGCGTGTCTGTGCTCAAAAACTTGACAAATGGTGAATATGTGGTCGATACAGCCACGGCCAGGTCTGAAGCTAGTTCACGAGTCTTAGTTAGGCGCCCGATAATTATTGAGGCTAGTATTTTAGATGCTATGTTAGTCAGACTAATCCCTCTATGGTTATTGCAGGATGATTTTGACCCCTTTTTATATATTGGGACAATCAGTGATTGTGACCAATCGGATGGGATTACGTCCGTTTCCCAGATGTTAGCCAGAATATTAGTCAACCTAATCGCTAAAATTGGGCCACCATATTTAAAGACCTCTGGAACCAATCCATCTGGACCATCTGCTCTTCCTCGTTTCAGATTACTTATAATCTTTTGAACTTCAAGTAGGGTCGGGGGGCCTACTTCAATGTTCCATTAGGTTTTCTGGGAATAGTGGGTAGTTGTGCAGTAGCTGAAGGCCAGCTAAACTGCTTCTTAAAGTGTTCCGCCCATCGTTCTAAACGTTTGGGTTGAGAGCGGATAAGGGTTCCATCTTTTTCCGAGATCGTCTGACTTACACTTGACTTCTTAATTCCGGTTTCTTTTATTAGTCTGAATAGTTGCCTGGTGTTGCCTACAGCCGCTGCCTTTTCCATCTCTTTTGCTTTCGTTGCCCACCACTGCTCACGATCGTTCCTTAGACTTTTCGTTAACCTAGATCTAATTTGTTTACGCTCTTCGTCATGTTCAGAGCCTGATGGGATGAGTTTACGCGAATCCATCAGTGAAATAGACTGGTTTTTTGGAGCCCTATGGTTTAAATAACTAATACATGTTACTGCTGTTTCCACAGCTGTTCGTGTCTTTCCAAGCAGCATCTGGGTCAGTCTCGTTTACAGAACTGCCTAGATGTGAACTCAGTTGTTCCTGGAATTCGCATTTGGCTTTCTCGTCCTCCAGTTCAATCCTAATGGGTCTTCTTAGTGTACTTTTGCTGCGTCCATTGAGGCGCAGACAAATGCGCGCTCGTATTAAAGCGTGATCAGAGTCTAAACAAGTATTCCAATACGAGCGACAATCTTCTATTAAACCTCTCCAACGATGACTGATGACAATATGGTCTATTTGAGTCCATCGTTGGTTTGGTGAAGGTGGTCGCCATGTTAGACGATGTCTCTCCTTATGCTTAAAATTAGTGCTTGCTAAAAATAAACGATTTCCTGGGCATAGTTGCAACAGTCGATCACCATTATCGGTTCGTTGAGTCGGAATACTAAAACACCCACATAAATGACTTTCTGTTTGAATTGAGCTGCCTACCTGGGCATTAAAGTCACCTGCTACGACTACTATATCTGAGCGCTTAGCTTTCTGAAGAAGCTCAGAGAGTTTTCTGTAAAACTCATCTTTCACTTAATCATGGCTGCAGTCAGTGGGAGCGTAGGCAGAAACGACGTGAGGTCAAGTGAATGACCACACTAGGATCCTGTATGCGTGTTTCGGAGACACAGCATACATCAATGGTACGAGATTCTAGGGTCTTAGCCAAGGAGGCCTGTTGACCGATTTGACTTAGGGTACGTACGTTGAAGGCTCCAATGTGTAGTTTGGAGCGAGGTTTTAGTAGACCTGGGACAGTGTTTCGCGCACTAGAATCGTTGGCCATGGTGACACTTGAGGAAAAAACCGAAAGAGGAAGTTTAGTGTTGAAAGTCAAGGTAGAAGGAATAGTAGGAATTGAAGAAGGAGATTGATTATGAATACAGTGGTCTTGAATGCTGTTAGAGGTATGAGGGCATTTATCACTTCCCGGTTGCCCACACCGTGGAAGGGTTCTTCTGGAGGTACCTGAAAAGGAAATCGGGTTAGAAGTGGTCTTAATGACCTGAGAGCGTGACCGCAGTGCCCAAGGGACAACTGCTTGAGATCGGTCACACACGACCTTTTTGTGGGTAGTTTTTGTGTTAGCTCCGTTCTTCAAAGGACCTTACCGCCGGAGACGGATATCCGTGGGATAAGGCGAGGTGTGCATTTTTAGGGTCGACCTTTTCTAACCCCACCCCTCCTTGTGGGAAGGCAGCATCGCTGTCATGCTGGTTGTCTGAAGGAAACACCTTACTGCCGTCACACCTCTGTACAGTCGGCAGTACGACTTCGCCTTCGGACCTTGGGATTGCTGTTTTTAGTCTTACCGCTCTTCAACCGACCTGTCTGGCATGGTAGTACCTTGAGGAACGATTGTTCCAGCCAGTATATCTCGATTGGTTCATCACGATAGGCAAGCCCGACCACCACGTCAAGGTAGTAGCAACGGTCGGGCTTATCGTAAGTACAACAATAATATAAGTTTGTACTCTAGGTTTTATCATAATTTCAATTGGATTTAATCATAATGATATGACATACAGAAGGGAATTTATTCAGCTAAAGTTTTACAGCATTCATCGATAAAAAAAACGATCTTAAAAACTATTGAGCGAATATAACGAGTGGCTTAACTATACGACTGTTTTCTTGGAAATTCTGTGTTCTTACTAATAGAAAACTAGTTGCGTTTAATTGTTGCAACAATATCTCAAGAAATAACACCAATGTTAATATTATGTACTGATTAAACTATATTACTTGTAATCAGTAAAAATTAGTAGGAATGAATTTTCAACTAGAAACATTCGTTAAGGTAAGCGTTTTGCTGAGTTTGAAGTCAATTTTTCACCACGTGCTGACATCATATGGAGTAGTAATAGAAACTATGTGCATTGATTTCAGCTATCAAAGTAGCCAAGTTAACTTTAGACCACTGAGTTGTAGTGCACCAAAAATTGGCCAAAGTTGGAAATGTCAGATTGTTGGATTCTTACAAACGTAATCATTTCGTAACTTGGTGGTCTACAAATTCATATATTCGTCTCGAATCTTATTGTCTACGTATAATCTTCCTTACTATCACTAGTACTGTTACTACTCTGCTATCTAGCTGTGCTGATATGGTGTAGTAAATCAAACAAATTTACATACGTCGCAGGTTCTACGTTGGGGATGACTGACTGACCTGTGTTCCTCATTTTGATTCCTTATCGCGTCTTAAGTTTTTCTTACTGCGAATTCCCACATTAAGTCCTTGGCATGTTTCCAACACTCTGGTTTTAACCGTTACTTCACGATGTAAACTAACTTCAAACGTGTTTTTTCCTCAATATGTTGTTTAGTGTTTACACATATTTGTGGGCATAACAGGAATTGTTCATTAAATTGTGTATTTTTATTAAGGGTTCTGCGATAAACAAACACGGTATTTGTGAAAGTGAAGATAGTGATTTCATGGATTTCAGTGACGACGGAGAGGAGACAAAACATCCTACAAACTTGAAGAATAAATCCATGAACAAAGACCAAACTTCAAACTATTTCTGGACAAAACAACTACAATCTGATAGCAGAACTGAAGAAAACGGTAAGCTAAACAAAAATGCAAATAACCAATGGGATTCGACAGAAGTTGACCCCGATATCAAAGGATGTATTCGAATCCTAGTGCAAAATAAAGATGTACGTTTTTGTTAACCACGATACACACTGTAGATATAATTCTTTGACGAGCACTACATTTTATGTGCTCTGAATGTAATTTTCATGCTTTTTCGGATACATCTCCTGTTTTAGAGAATACTTTACGCGTTAGGTTTTAGAATCCCCCATTTAGAAAATCGTTTGAATCTCCAAAGATAGGTGACTGTCAGCTGTTTATTATCAAACACATCCCATCCCATAGCTGCAAAACATACATCATTGGTTTTAAGTAATTATGTTTTGTTATATCGATATGATTTCTATTTAGATAGTGAAATTTTAGTAGCAGAAGAAATTCAGAAAGGCAGATGTATTTTTGATTCGGGTTTATTCTAGCCGTAAATACAACTACAATATCTCAGAAGCGATTCTTGTTTTTGAAGAAAATGCGTATGCAGTCATGTATAAAAATATTTTATTTAAGTCCTAAGTAATCTACATATCTGATTTTTTTTAAATACCACCTAATTGTCCCAGTTAATCATAGTTGTGCTACGCAAACACTTCGAACCAATTAGAACAAAGAAAGTTGTTAACATAATTACCTAAGTATTTCTAAAACATCCGCCTTAATTTTTCGTGTTGATGAGAAGTTACTATGAGAATATGCAGTTAATATAATGAGATTGAAAGAGTTTATTATTAACTCCACATTTGGTTAATGTTTCAATAAATGTTCAATATTTTTTGTTAATTCTTCTCCTGATTCACTAATAAATTATATTTAGTAAGTTTTATCAAAGTCAACGCTGAATGTGTTATCATCACTAAGTTCACGACTTTGGCTTTATTATAGAAAGTAGTACATACATCAGTGTCATTAATACTGATGACTAAATATTAAATTCGCGTATTTTATCTGACGTATCCCACAGTTTCAAGTTTCGTTATTGCTAGTTTATTGTTCATGATGGGATTATTATATCCGTACTAATAAAAATCCTTAATTGATTTTTTCTTCGACTCATTCAAAAAAAACTTTTCAAGCGTTCTCCAGACCTTAGTGATGATGATGATGACGACGACAATGGAAGAGAAATAAAGCGACATCCACAACTAGATCCAGTAATGAAGGGGAACCAAGAATCATCAAATAACGAGGTTACCAGTGACCATGTACGAATTGTAAGATCTGATGAGGTGAAACATGAGATCAATGATAATATTGACTATACAAACAAGTCGGAATCATATAACACCATACCAGAAACAGGATCTAAACCAGAACTTCTTATTGGACCTGAAAAACGTCTAGTTTACTTTTGGGAACAAGGTAATAAAACTGGCAGTCGGTCAATTCCTAAGAATACTACTGTCATTACCACTAATATCACTAATAATACTACTTATTCTGCATCCATCGTATGTACTACTAATCCGAATGGCATTACTACTACTAATACTGTTGCCACAACTATCAGTACTATGAATACTCGTATTCATGAACGCGACGTGGTCAATCCATTGCCGATTCATATTCAAGAAGAAACGACTAAAATCCCCGTTGAAAAACAAATCCATCATAGACCGGTTAATCCTCGTTCAATCGTGTCGATTCCGACAAAAACACGGCATACTGAGCCAAAAAAAGAAATTGTGAGTTTTATCATTCTTTTTTACCATAAGTTCTCTGTTTAAGCGACGATTTGTTTTAAGATATCTTTTCATCATTGTATGAATTCAGTTCTATGATGATAAATGATTGTCTGTGTTCTCTTTTTATTGTATGTTATAATCGATCAATAGCTTATATATAAAACAATTCTTTTTAAGCATTATATCATTACTCAGAAATTTATTTATTGAATAAAGTATAGTCTATTGCTAAACATATATAATACTTATCGCTTACATTTCCTACACTAGAAAATTTATCATTTTATGCTCCCTGACAATTAACAAATAACAATAAACATAAGGAACTATTCGCATGTTTATCAAATGTGAGTATATGGTCGAAGTTGATCTTGTGAAAATTTGCATACCTAAAATGTAGTTCTTGACGATGGATGATGTTAAAAGATTGTCCATATTCCATTGTAGATGTTACAATCACAAAGAAATAAATGTTATAGTAAGAAAATATTAATTTGATACAAAACAAGATAAATAGGTCACATCTAACCATGTGATGAAGTCTCATTTTATTGTGTTGGGATTAATCTCTTATTTTAGTTATTCACTATCAAACAGATTGCAACTACTTGTTTGAAATGAGTCTGATGTCGTCCAGACCAATGAATAGTACCAATCTTTTTATTTATTAGCTAGTGATTATATATTTTGGTTCAGATATTTCTGTATGAAATATATATGATATCTAATATCAATGTTAGATGTATGTATTATCTTGCTGTAAATAGCTACGGCTATTTTTCTTTATTTATACTTCCCTTCTTACCTCCTTTTGTTTTGTACTAGTTGTGTAATTCCATTTAGTCGAATTTCTTTCTGACAATAACTTTCTAGTGCGTATAAGATCAGGTATTTCTTTATCTATGTGTCTACAGTCATTAACGTGATATAATGACAAAAATAAAAAACAATTTGGTGGCACTCGCTAATAGATATGAGATAATACGATCAGTAGATTGTACACTAGTTCACATGGACTTAAGCAATCAATATCCGATCAAAGATTCGAAACCCTATATAGATCAGACAAGTAATCAACATAGAGTGAATCCAGAATAAAATAAAATTACAATACAATATGGTCTAACATATTTACTGTATTCGGGTCTGCCTGTCTTCGTTCACTAATCAGTAACAACTCATTCTCGCTTGACGCGTTTAATCCCGCGCTCAAAAATATTTCATAGTTTAATTGATTTCGACAAACAACTGCTCATCATTCTGTAAACTATATTACTCTAGTATCTCTGGCATGTAGAAAGAAAACTAATTGCTTTAAATGAAGATTCTATTCGATTTTACGCTATTATTGTTTCCTTTTCTCTATGTAGAATTCTGCATCTACTGAAATGAATTCATCTACTGCTGAATTAGCCAAACAAGTGGTAGCTTCTCTGTCACGTCATTTTGCCAAAGGTTTATTCAAAAACAAAGTAAATTGTCTTGTTTTTTTAACGATGATTTGAAAAAAATATTTTTAAATACATGTTTAGGCCTAAGTACGATACTCTCCATGCACATTTATTAATTCACATAACGAGGGATTGATTTTACGACTGATTTTCTCCCCAAAGATCGATGAGATAACTTACAATATGCGGAAAATACAGTTTTCTTAAGCGTGTATGCACCAAAAAGAGAGCTTTCTAAATAATGTAAGTGACAATGTGAAAATTGTACATACCATATATACTGATCTTTCTAATCAGAAATTTTACATTACATTGCAAATTTTTCTAGCTGATGATTATAAATTGGCACAAGTCTTGTATTGGTTATTGCCTACTGATCTCATGTAAACGTATAATACAATATGACCGTATTCATTAAACGTTAGTATCATAACTAACTAAACAATAATCACTTTTGTATTCGTCAAAGAATGAAATCCTGCGTCGGTAATTAAACTAACATTTTATGTCATACACATCTACGTATTTATCTAAGTGCATTTGGTTGGTTTTTCTTGAAAAAAAAGATAATTGTTCCTCACTGCGTAGATAAATAAGTTTATTTACTGTTAGTTTGTTTAAAAGGAATTCAACTTGACGACACATTTGAAAGTGTCGGCTACATGTTGCTTCTTAAACAATAAAATTGTGACTGAACTGAGCGTTCAAAAGATTCTCTGTCTGTAACAATAATTATTCATTCTAAATTCTGGCATCATGTTCTTGTAAGTCAGATATAGTTCCAGTTATAAAATGTGGTCTGTCTGATGTTAGTAATGACGTAAAGCTAATTGTTGTACATAGTTTACGATACTTTTATCAATGAAGTCGAGCTATTATTTCCATAACAGATATTGTATACACTAATCCACAAAACTTCAGATATAGACTTATACTTGCCTCGACTTCCACGCTACAGTTGTCTTAATTTTCATTATATGTGTAACTGACATATACCTTGGAACCTAAATGTACCCCTATATTTGTTTGGTAGATACGAAAATGAAATACAAATTTCGGAAAAAAGAAAGTAATATATGCATAATAGTCAATTATCACATTGTTTTTCACTATTCCGAGGATGATACAATTATTACTCCGAATCCCAAAGCGAATTCGTACCTAATGAAACTACTTTTTCGCGGTATATAGATACGTACAAAATGTGAAGACTAACTTTTCTAAGAATACATTTACTATCTCTAGAAACTAGAAACATATGAATGAGCACTTCTGGTTAAATAGTAATTATATAACGTTAAGAAATATATGATAATCACCTTATTAAAAGTACTGTGAACCTCAGCAACTGATATGAAAAGAGGGCAACAACAAGTAATATTTCATGTTTTAACAATTACGATATCGTTCAGTGCAACATCGGAAACAGTTGGTAATAATAACCTGATATTTGTCACTACGTCGACATAGGTTATTTCCAATCATAAATTCAACACGATAGTAGGGATTTATTTGACGTATTTTTATTTCTGTACTCTGTAGGATGCATTCAAATCGGTCGCCAAGAAATTGACTCGGAAGCTGCTCACACACCATGAAGTCGACATATTCAGTAAGATTCTCTTATTATTTGAATATGTTCAGTATGTAGACAAAATATTACTGTATACTCTCGTATAGAGTTATCACCAGGATACGATTGAATAAGCTGACCGTTGAAAAATGTAAACTGTCTTCAGAAATTTTAACTGAAGATTAAAGAAAGTCCAAACATTTTTAAATGACAGTAGTTACTGTTGCAATACGTTAGAACTTGTCAAAAAAAATTATACTTAGTAATTATTTTCTTATACGAAGGATTCTTTGTGTCAAACTGACTACTAGTTAAATTAATTGGTTCACAGTAATAAACGTGCCCCGGATATTATGTTAACCATGCTAAAGAATAATACATAAACTAACTGTTAATGTCAAGAGCATATAAACGTAACAAATCCATTTTTCGTATAAGTTGGCAAACGGATCCACCGTAAGGTTCAATCTAGTGGAGATGATGGCTCAGTAAGTTATCTTGAAACGTCGATTTTAGTGGATCCCATACGGAGTACTGTCTGTTAAAGTATATGTTAGGTAAAAAGAGAAAAGAAGTGGTTGATTTATGATATTGCATTGTATAATTATGATTGTATCGAGTTGAAATTCGCTGCCATTGCGATCTTATAAATCAAGTAACTCAGTGATCGTATATATTAACAAACATGGCTCATAACGAAAATCAGTAGCAAACTGGGTGTAGTTTTCTTCTAGGTTTCCTTATCAGTAGTAAAATGTACTTTCTTAATAATCCGAATCGCTCTTGGTATTCAAAATATGCCATCATAAAATTTATTATGTTACTGATTTCCAAATGATTATCCTTTCACTGTAATATCATTTCGTTTAGCGTTTTTATTGATAGCTTTATCGATCCCGTCCAATGACTAACAAATAGATTGATGCTCTTTTCATTTTAAACTTATTTGCTTAAAATGTATTACCTAGTGATTTTTCCCTTTGTCATTCACTTTTCTCTACAAAAATAAACTTTCAGCTAAATCAAGGTTAGATCAATTGATCGATCAATTGCTGGTACATTTCATAGAGACAAAAACACAAATTCAAGTTTCAGATGATATTGATTGGAGTAGATTAGCTGGGATTTTTTTAAGGCTCCCGTGAATAAAACGCGACCGATAAGATTAAAAAGTGATTTGAAAGAAAACCCTTGATTTTTTCTTCTATGTGCAGTAACACCTTATAGGTTTACACAAACATATTGTGATAAGCACCAATCACTTTTACACTAACCACAAATCATTTGGTTTGTTTAAAATTTCACCCATGCTGGCCAAGTGTAATCCCTTCAATTGAGTGATTGTCTATTTTCTCTTTGTGTACACTAACAATTACGCTTTGCATCCCTCTCTGACTCTTTGTTACATCTTTCATCTTGTGTAAGTAATGATTTTTGTCCACTTTCTGTCTTACGAGAATTATTGATTTCACCTATCTTTGTAGTTCTTTTCTCTTATAAATAAATGACCGATCGATCCATGTAGAATCATATTTTTTTAATCCAGAGTAACCACAGAAAGCTTATATGAAAGCTTCTGTACCGGATAACATTTGTAAAACACAAGAAACAAAGATCTGAATATATATATTTTTGGGAATATTGTTTTATCACTTTTTCCCCTATCCACAAAAAAGTTCTTCCTGCAATAAAAAAATGTTTTCGATAAATGTTTCTACTTATTACAAAGATTTTTATCCATGGATTATGTGAATCTGATCGATTCTTTTACATAAGGTAACTGATAATACAGTTTCTCGTTATACTTGCATATAAACGTTAATCAACAGAATACTTTAGTCTTTTCCATCGAATAAGTATGGGATGTACTGGAGAGTTAGTCACTTAAATATGAATATAACTCAACAATTAAAGGTTTACAATTGACTGATCATTGAGTAGTGGCAGATTACATGTGTCTAAGATTTATGTTCTCACTGGATTCTATCCATTAAGTTGCACTGTGATCACCAGTATTGATAGTTCGACATCGCAGCCCGAACAACTCACTAGTAACGTCCCAAGCTATGAAGCTGGGTGTCACAGGCTCAAAATACTGACGAATCATCAATACACTCAACATTGCGGGTAGCCTTGCTGACAGGTTGCAACTATCACAAAACGTAGGTCCGGAGTTTCCTGTCGACTACCTAACATCAAGTAGAGGTTATGCACTCAACATTGAGTCAGTCATATTGTGTGAGGACTTGAGATACTGCTATCCAGATACTCAAACCGAAGTAGGTAGACCAGGGTTCTTACCTGAAAGTTAATGGATGAAACCTGATTGCCTCAACTATTAAGCGAACTTTTCAAAGACTCAACTGCTTAGTTAGATAATATTAACAAGCTTCACTTAATTAATCAAAAAACCTGTCTAACTTACCCAGAGAAATTTAAATAAAAATACCAATACCTATGGACTTTATATTATATGTGGCAGTAATTTATTTCGTTGCCTTCAAAGGGACGAGGTTGATTACGGTAGGAGAAACATCTAATGCATCTTATTTAACAAACAGTATCACTCGCACTAGTTTGTTTACAGAAAAATCTGATTAATCAAGACAATATTAAGTGGTAGTTACAGTTATGAATGATATTATGGACAAAAATTAAATTTCATTTGGTTGTTTTGTGTGAAGTATACCAATTAGGCAACTCATTATTTATAATTCTATCGGAATAACTGATTTTTCTGCTAGGATCACCTTCACAGATCATACGTGGAATTACGGCCGATTTCACACCATCTACACATAAATTAACAATGAACACATATCCAGATAAGTTTTAAGTAGGCCTTCCAACCAGAATCGAACCAATCTTTTCTCGAGCATAATTAGATGGTGTTTTATATTTGAAACTTGTCCAGCATAACCATCCCGGATATTACTTTTCGCAGTGCCTATTATCAATCATTAAACAATAAATTATTGCAGTATACCCGCTAGACATTCCAAACTATAGTTATTCAGATTACACCATATTATTTTCAACATTTGACATAATATGAAGGATTTTTGAAAAATATTTGCTCCTACTTGTAGTAAACTAATTATAAACATCAGCCTGAGACTCAGATGCGTCACGGAACAACCTACACAGATCGAATTCTTAGTTATATCAACAAACATCTAGCAAATCGACTAAGTACTAACTATTTAGAAGAGTGGAGATACACCGTAGATATGAAGATATCTGGAAATTTTTACAGAAGAACGGCTATCTGCGCAACTTTATCAAAGAACCAAATGTGGAAGGTAACAAACAGATGATCCTATCACATATGAATGAGAGACTGCAACCAGATTATTAAAAAAGGCGTCATTCACAACTCAGCCAAATCAATTCTATGCTAAACGAAATAACGGGGGAAGACAAACCGAACAGCTACAAGATATACTATCCCAACTTTGAAAAACACTACATCAGCAAGAGCGACCGCTCTTTTGATAGTTGTCTACATAAACACTCATTGGCTATAAAACAACACGAGCGTTTGTAGAAGCTTGCCACTCAAGTTACTGGTTACTAAACTTGATTAGTCAACCAATTAGAAAACTCACAAAAAACTATAAGATCAGGGGCGGACAATCAACATAAATGTGCAGACAATGACAGGACATCTCAATAACAATCAGTTAACTCCAAGGTCTACCGGACAAGATGCTAGTCACTCAGAGAATTTCTTACAGTTCACTTATAACTGAAGTTTGTAATGACAATGAAAGCTTCCAAAGAGCACAATTTCAAGAAAACTATCCTCTTCAGCAACGAATCTCGACCAACTTGGCATCAGGAATCGATTGAATACCCTCTATCAACCATTTTATTTGCTACTAAGTTAAAAAGCCTAATCAGAATAAAATGTAAAGTGAGAATGCTCCTTAATTATTTCCTCAGGATTCAACAAAATGCAACTCGTAGGCAAACAAAGATAAGTTCAATCAACAACCAAACGACTTTCACAACAAAGCGTGCCCCAAAAGATTTCGGTTCTACCTGGCAACCCAAATGAAAATATCCATCGTCTTCTGTATATCTACTTTGCTATTTTGACAATATGCATGGTGACTGGCATGACATACAAAGCGTTTGCCATTAACAGCGTCGACTTGATGGGACAGTATTTTACTGTTAAGTAATCCATATTATTAGAAAAATGGAAGTACTGATTACTACTGTAATACATGCATAATTTCACCTCAGAATGATAAGTAAAAAAATCACTGCTTATTTTTTTAAGCTTGGTGTATTTAATGTACAAAAATAATGACAATAGCAAATAATAACACTATATTGCTCGAAACATGTATACAAAAGTAATGCGACTGCGTATTTACAAAAATACTTTATATTCTTCTGGCCAGATGTGGTGAAAAAATGGAATAGAGTAAAACATCACTTCAAACGATTTTTTAAGTAAAATAAGATTTGATTAGCTGCTTCTCGACATGTTCCACTTATCCATGCGATCTTTATCACCAATGGTCCATGGTTCTCTTCAGCAAGAATCACATCGTTATCATCTTCATCATCACTAGTGCCTATATCACTTTTAAATTTCACAATTGTCTGTCCACATTCAGTGCTATCATTATGCATTACTTCATCACTGTTGTTGATTCCATGCGGAAATAAAGATGATTTTGCATGTACATCTTTATTAAATGAATCTGTGTTTAAATACTCAACAAATACATTGGCTTGAATCACATGTGAGCAAGTGTCGATAGCAGTAGATTGTAATTCATTATTTGAACACGTATTAATTTTGTTAACTGAAGCATTCTCACATTCATCTCCATCACACCAAGCGTCTTCACCTTCTTCACAGATTTCATCATAAAGTGTTTCTCGCGCTCGTTTTGGTGGATTTACTAATTCCACCACAGAACTACTCAATTTTGTCTCTGAATTTGATTGTGTGATTGATTCTGATGAATTATTCACTTCATCTGGATTATCATCATGTATACGCTTCGAAAGATTTATAGAACTTACCGTATTTGTGTTAAAACCGCATTCCATGAGATCTTTTTCATTGGATACAGAATCATTATTAGTTGGATTCCTATTGTTTATCGTATCCGATTGTTGAGACATTAAAAGACGTTGAACTTCTCGTCGTTTACGCCTAGTATGTGTCCATGTATTTACTGTTGCTGTAATATTTAAATGCAGACCACCTAGTTCAGCACGATTTTTTTGATCTAATACTTTCATCTAAAAAACCAAAGAAACATAAGATAATATAGGGATTTATCGCGGTGAGAAATTATCAGTGTTTAATAACAAATGCACTGAAATAATATAGATGAGTAACTAAGAGAGACCATAGGTTGATCGTGTTGACCAACACTAAAAAGTTTCAGGTAATCTTTTACAAACGTCTAACAGCACTACGGCACGTTGTGCTACTAAGTTTAATAAACACATTTGATATATTGGATGATAGGATTTGATTAGCACTAGATACCACAGAAAAATGATGACCATTGGGATGACTGAGTCTGCTACAATATAATTCAATTCAAACTGACGGTTTAATAAACTACTGTGTACCTGGCTTTTCGATATTTAATGATCATTAATGACGAACAACTCCGCCTGTAGCTCCTCCGAGGGCTACTGCCGGTCCCAAGCCCGGGTAAAGGAGGAGGGTTGGGCATGGGGTTAGCGGCCCCATCCCGTAGAAAACCAACTCGCTAACCAGAAAAAATTACTCAGACCATTCAAACTCTGCCCTGGGAGTAGAAAGAATAATTATGATGTCTCATGACCAGAGCGACAATTTTTATAGGTAAATGGAATGTCCGGACAATGTGGGAGACCGGAAGAGCCTTCCAAATCGCTGTAGAAATGAGAAAATACAACCTGGAAGTGCTTGAAATCAGTGAAACACATTGGACGTAGGTTGGACAACAATGACTATCTTCAGGGGAACATCTGTTATACTCCGGTCATGAAGAAGAAAATGCACATGAAGAAAAATACACAAGGAGTGGCATTGATGCTGTCCAGAAAAGCACAAAATGCACTTATTGGATGGGAATCCCATGGACCAAGGATCATCAAAGCCTCCTTCAAAACAAAGAGAGAGGGCATTACAATCAACGTCATCCAACGCTTTGCGCCTACCAACGACTACGATGAAGACGCTAAAGACCAATTCTACGATAGGCTGCAATCGATCTTCGAGAAGTGCCCAACCAGGGACCTGACCATTCTGATGGGAGATCTCAATGCCAAGGTGGGAATGGACAACACTGGATACGAAGACGTCATGGGACGACATGGACTGGGAGAAAGGAACAAAAATGGTGAGAGATTTGCAAACCTATGTGCCTTCAATAAACTGGTCATAGGTGGCACCACATTCCCACACAAACGCATACACAAAGCTACATGGACCTCGCCGGACCACACCACAGAGAACCAGATGGATCAAAATTCCGAAGGTCAATGGAAGACGTGAGAATCCGGAGAGGAGCTGACATAGTTTCAGATCACCACCTGGTTGTGGCCAAGATGAGACTGAAGCTAAAGAAACACTGGACAACTGGACAAACAGCACTACAAAGGTTCAATACAGCCTTCCTTCGAGATACTGACAAGCTCCATGAATTCAAGATAACTCTCAACAACAGGTTACAAGCTCTACAGGATCTACTGAAAGAACAAGAAACTACTTTGGAGGACAACTGGAAAGGGATAAAAGAAGCACTAACTTCAACGTGTCAGGAGGTTCTTGGATCTAAGAAGCATCATCATAAGGAATGGATCTCTATGGGAACCCTGGACAAGATTCAAGAAAGGAAGAACAAGAAACTAGCAATTAACAACAGCATGACACGAGCAGAGAAAGTCAAAGCACAAGCAGACTACGCAGAAGCAAACAAGGAAGTGAAAAAAAGCATTAAGGCCGACAAGCAGAAATACATGGGAGAACTAGCAACGATGGCGGAAAAAGCTGCAAGAGAAGGGAATATGGGACAACTATATGATACAACGAGGAAATTGGTGGGGAGACACCCGACCGTTGCTGCTACGTTGACGTGGTGGTCGGGCTTGCCTATCGTGATGAACCAATCGAGATATACTGGCTGGAACAATCGTTCCTCAAGGTACTACCATGCCAGACAGGTCGATTGAAGAGCGGTAAGACTAAAAACAGCAATCCCAAGGTCCGAAGGCGAAGTCGTACTGCCGACTGTACAGAGGTGTGACAGAAGTAAGGTGTTTCCTTCAGACAACCAGCATGACAGCGATGCTGCCTTCCCACAAGGAGGGGTGGGGTTAGAAAAGGTCGACCCTAAAAATGCACACCTCGCCTTATCCCACGGATTTCCGTCTCCGGCGGTAAGGTCCTTTGAAGAACGGAGCTAACACAAAAACTACCCACAAAAAAGTCGTGTGTGACCGATCTCAAGCAGTTGTCCCTTGGGCACTGCGGTCACGCTCCCAGTGTGGTGTGGTCTACTTATATCTATATAAGTAGTATATGGTGTGGGTCAGACATAGAATGTATTTTCGCAGAAGACCGATGAGGAAAGAACTGAAATGAAGCGCAATCGTTTGGAAAATGCACGAGCAATGGAATAAAAGAAGAAACTGATAGATGCTCGAAAACTCATCCCACCTGG